TATTGAAGAAGATAATGTGAAGAAAGAATGTCATCAATTCATTCACATAATTCTATCACTAAAATATCTCAAAATGAAATATATATTAATGAAATACATGAATATGATAGTATATTAACAGAAGATGAATTTGAAAAGATAATGAAAACATTTAATGTTCCACAAAAATGTATGTTATGATGAATATCAAAGAATAATAATATATATCAATTACCATATAATATTAAAGAAATAGAAACAATTATATTCCCATTTTCATCAAAAAATAAATATTGATTAATAGCATATGTTAATAAAATTAATATAATAGGAAAAGAAAGAAAAGAATGTGTAGTACATATTAAATATGGAAATGATAAATATCCAGTGTTTATGAGATGAATGAATAAACAATTAATGAAAGTATTAGAATTAACAAATGAACCAATAATTTATTCTATAAAAATTGATGAATGTATTGGACAATTAAAACATAATGGTTATATAACACTTTTCTTAATAGAATCTTTCTTAATGAAAAGAAAAGAAGATGATATAACAAGACAATCAAAGAATCTGAGAATATATTTCAATAGAAAAAATGATAAAATCATTCAAATGTTATAAAAATTAATCTTAATTAATTTTAATAACAACAAATATCTTTTTTAAAAGTAAAATAATATGAATAAATAAAAGTACAATATGTTATAGAAGTAAAATAATTTAATGTAAATTAATTTGTTCTAATTTTTAAACTGATATTTTTAGTATGAAAATATCAATCAAATTATTTAAATTATCAAATATGTTTTCAATATAAAATTTATTCAGAATGTATATGTTAAAATTTATTATATTTTTAAACTAACATAAATCTAAATCCATTATTTGTCATCATATCATATTTTGCACTAATAAAAATCTATCAAGTATTCTCTTTTCAAATTATTCTATCTTCGAACAACTGAAGTGAATATTCATTAGATTTTTCAATAATTCTTGTAAATATGAAGAAATATTAAAAAATTATTTATATTGTATAAAATTTTTTGAACAAAAATAATCAAAAAACAATTATGGCAAATTATTTTCTAATTTGAATAATTTACCATAATTGTTTTTGATTGTATATAGAATTGTTCTATTACCATTTCTATTGTTCTTTCATCAAAAATATAATTCTTCAAGTGTTTGGTATTCCTTTAATTTTTTATTAATATTGATAATTTAAATAATAATAATAATCAAAAACAAATAAAAAGTAGATAATTAAATGTTAATAATTTTATATTGTTCATTATTCAATGTAGATTATTTGTTTTAATATTGTATTTTCATTATTTATTAGTTTATTCTTTGATTTTAGTTGTTGAATTATGATAATTTCATTTTCTCATTTATTTGATATGGAAATAAAGTATTTGAACATCAATTATTTAAATATTCATTATTTAAGTTATTATCTGATTTTAATGTCTATTAAAATTCTTCTTTATTTTCTTATTTTAAGGAGAGTATATACTTATTACTGTATTACTATGAGTTAATATTCTTTTTAGAATCAACCACCAAACCCTTTTCTTTGATAATCTTATATTATCATTTATACTTGTATCATATAAGTAATAATAACATCTTTATAAATACCCATTCGTTTATTATCAATGATATCTATCATTGTAATTAATAATCACTGTTATTCTTACAATATTGATTATGATGTTTTTCTAACTAAATACAACATTATAATCAGTCCATAACTGGGGGAATCGAAGGATGGAAATATTTTAGGGAAGTGTGTGTTGTCTCTGACGTGCTACCTTCGAATCAATAATGAATAAAATATAAAATAAAATGAAATATTTAATAATTATGAATTTATTAAAAATAAAAATAATTATCATTTTATTTTATTTCTTATTATTTATTGTTTTTCATAACAAATATCAATTAATAAAAATAGAATGATGATAAAATAATAAAAAAAAGAAATTAAAATATAAAAATAAAAGAACTAATAAAAACAACTAATAAATAAACAATCAATAATGAAATTAGGATATAATGAAATAATGATAACATCAAAGTATTTTAATGATATTAAAGATTTTATTAATTTAGAAATAGGAATTAAAAGATTTAGAGGAAATATTGAACGATTTCATTTTAATCCAATTCCATTAGATGAATATTCAAGAAAGTTCTTTCCTAATATTGAAACATTCCATGTTTATGGATATGATGATGAAATATTTAATGATGGAAAAATATTTAAATATGTAATATGGTATTTAGTAAGTTATTCAAAATATTTAAAAGAGAAAGAACAAGGAAATATCTGTAAAAATATAGAATATACAGAAGAAGATAGATGGAAATATGGAAATACAATACCATCAGAAGTTAAATCACTTGGAGCTTGGTGTTTTAATAGGTGTAAATCATTAACAACAATTAATATACCAACAACAATTAGTAAATTAGGATTTAATTGTTTTAAAGGATGTACATTATTAAAATCAATTGATATACCAACATCAATTACTAAAATAGGATTTAATTGTTTTGAAGAATGTTTATCATTAACATCAATTAATATAGATAATCTACAATTTATTAGTAAAGAAAGAATATTTATGAATGAGCCAGTGTTAATTAGTACTGAAATACCAAAAAATCTACAAATAATCAATGGAAAGAATATTTTCAAGAAAGATATTAATGAATTTATTGTTCCATCTTCAATCACTAAATTAGGATATGGTTGTTTTTATTATTGTTATTCATTAAAATCAATTAATATACCAACATCTGTTAGTAAATTAGGACATTGTTGTTTTGGATATTGTTCATCATTAAAATCAATTAATATACCATCACCAATTACATCATTTGGACGTGGATGTTTTTATAAATGTGGATGTGAAGAGGAGTTAATGAAAAATGAAACAATACCAAGAAATTGTTTTGACGAATGGTGATGAATGAAATAAAAATACAATAAATGAAATACAATATAATTTGAAGTAGAAATAAATTTAATTGATTATCATTTATATTATTATTATTCTTTTCTTATTTATTCTTTTTGATATTATTCTTTTTAATAAAACAAGAAATTTATAGAATAAGATAATCTACAAAGAAAAGATGCCGAAGCATTACAGGAAACACCACAAAAATTATAAAACAATCAATAACAAAAGAAGGAGAAATCCATACCAACCAAGAGATATAAATGATAGAAGAATGAGTGAAACCACGTATTATCTGTATGGACAGAAATACATTAATCATCACATTAATCATTACCATAATAATGACTATCACCATAACAATTATCATAACAATTATAATAATAATGATATGAATCGTTTCATTCATCACTTCAATCATTTTCATCATCATAAGTATTTTATCAATAATTCAAATAGAAACAATCAATATTATAATACAAATAAATCACATAATAAAACATAACACAGACATAAACAATACCATAATAAAAGACAACAACAAATAAGAAATAAAATAAAAGAAATGATAGAAATACAAAACCAAGAATATTGGAAAAGACTATTTGAAGAAGAAACCAAAATACTTACACCACAAGAAATAGAATAAATTAAGAACACTAAGATTAAAGAATATAATCAACAATAATGAGAATATGGTATTTACTTGCAAGAGAAAAAACAAAAATGAATAGAAATGAGTGATTATCAGTATGACAAATGAAGAAGATGATAAACAAATAAATCAAAAAGAAATAAATGATAAATACTTAAATAAGAAATATACAATGAATATTGAAAATGATGATGAAAATGAAATTACTGAAGATAAGAAGAGACTTAATGAAAAAGAAAAGACGAAATTAAAAGAAGAAGAAGAAGAAAAGAACAATGAAAAAGATAAAAGAATAGAAGAATTAAAGAAGAGGCTATTAAAGAGAAAGAAGAAATGAAGAAATACAAAAGAATGACCAGACCATTAATAAATTATCAAATGACATTATGTCATTAAAGAAGAAGCATAAGAAGGAGATAAACACTAAAAAACAAGAAAGTGATAGAAAATTATTCGAATTCCATGCTGAATCAGAAAGGAAAAGGTCTGAGGTAAGCAATTTATCACAACAAGTGTACTTCATGAAAGATAAATTATTTAAATTATAAAATAAAATTACACAAGAAGAAAAGAAGAAAGATGAGATAAATCACATTATATCTGACTCATCTGAAACACAAATTATGAATGACCTCAACCCCAATGTGGTAGTAGCTGATGAAATATCATCAAGCGAAGATGATCTTCCAAAAAAAGAAAGTTAAGGCAGAATTCAATCGAAGAGATGTGAAATCAGCATAAGAAGATCACCACATCTGATCATGACATTCAAAAAAACAATTGAAGCAAACAAATAGAGAAGAAGAAATTCTAACATTCTATAAATGTTATACACTGAAGTTATTAGAAATAAAATTAAGAGGTCAACTTAAAGAAGAAGAAATAAAAGATTAATACATGAAATTGATATTAAAATAGAAGATATTAATGAATATAAAGAAATAATAAAGAAAACATTTAAAATAAAGAATGAAATTAAAATTGAAATCAATAAAAGAAATGAAGAAGAATTAATAACACACCAATTGAAAGATATTGAATTAAAAGAATTAATAAAATAAATAAGAAAGAAGAAATACAAGAAGAGGAGGTAATAAGAATATTTAAAGAAGAAGATATGAAAGAACAAGAAGATGTACAATTTATTAATTATTATTACAATAAAAACAAAGTACATCAAATAATTAATATCATTAATACAAATGAAACAGTAATCAACACATTAGATGATTACTACCATTATATTAAAACTATAACCTCCACCATTAACATCATTATTAATAACAATCAAGAAAGAAGTGGAAGGAGAAGTATAGAAAGAATACTACAATCAAAAATATGTAGATTAAGAGACTTGTTCCATAATAATCAATATATGAAATTAAAAATAATATTATATATTAGAAAATATGATATATATCATATTAAAATAAAAACAAATGAGCAAATAAACTATTACAAATACATCAAAAGAATGAAAAGAATAAAAATAGAAGTAAGAATAAATTGGAAAAGAATTAGATGGAATTATAAAATGATGAAATATTGAAAGAGATAACTTCTAAATAAGAATAAGAAGATGAATATCCAGATAATATTACTACAATTAATTTCTGGAAATGAATCTATGAAAATAACACCAATATAGATTTCCTAAATATTAATTTATATGATATATTAATTGAAAATAGAATTAATAACAGAAGGTGCGTAATCACTCTAAATGAATTAAATCATGCAATAAAATTCATTGCTAATTGGAATTCACATGGAATTGATAAAATACAATCATCTGGATTAAATAATTAGAACAACCAAAGAATTTCTTATTAAAATTATTTAATGAATGGTTGTATAATCCTACTAACATCAATCTTCAATTTATCCAAGGAAGAACAATATTAATATACAAGAAAGGAGATAAATTATATAAACAAAATTACAGACCAATAACTTGTTTAAATTGTATGTTAAAAGTATATATATCTTTATTAAAGATGAAGATAGAAAGCCAACTGATGCTAAATCAAATTGAAAAACAATTATCATAAAATTAAATTTGATGTAAAAAATATACATATTATCAAAAGAAGGATTATTATACAATAATATAATCTTTCAATTATTAATTAATGTTAAATGAAAGTTAATAGAAACATATTATGATGTCTCTAAAGCATATGATAGTATTAATCATCAATTTGTTAAACATTGTTTAATTTATTTTAACATCCCATTAGTTGTAATTAAAAGTATATTATATATATTAAATAATACACAACTCCAATTATATTATAATCAACAAAATGAATGTATAATTAATGTAGAAAGAGGAATAATACAATATGATAGTTTATCTCCATTATTATTTGTATTATTTATTGTTATATTATCTAAACAATTAGATAAACAAATTAATATTTTATCTATTAAAATGAATGGAGAAGAAAAACAAGTCCAGTTAAACCACTTATTATATATGGACGATTTAAAGATAATAACTAACAGCATCGAAGAAATGGAAAAAGCCCACAAATTAACAAATGAAATAATTAATAGAATATGATTAAAAATAAATGTAGAAAAGAGTGGGATAATGACTAATATCAATAGTCAGATAAATAGAGAATTAGCTGAATTACTAAGAGTAACTAATGATAACAATTATAAATATCTTGGTATTGAAATAAGAGATAAAATAAATATTAATAAATATTGTACATGATTATTAAATGATGTATCTTCTATTCTATCATCATTAATTATTATGAAATATAGTAGCCTCAATACAATTAGAAAGATTAATAATGATATAGTCTCAAAATTAAGATATGGATTCTGTATTATCAAATGGAAACTTGGTGAGTTTGAGAATATAGATAAATAAATAAGAAAATCATTGATACAATTCCAACTATACAGTAGAAACATCCCTAAAAGTAGATTATATGTTACAATAAATGAATTATGAATGGGATTAATGTCAGTACGAGATGAATGTGCTAAAGAATTAATAAAATATATTTAAAATATAAATATCAAATACAGAAATATTAGAAATGATAGAAATAGTAAAAGAGAATCCAAAATGAATAATTAAAAGAATGAAGAGAGCATTTTATAAGAAAGATTAATTTCAATGAATGAATATAATACAATTAAATGAAAGAAAACATGATGTAAGCAAAGTAATTGAATTTGTAACAAATAAAATAAATGAAAGATATTTAAATGAATTGAAAGAAATGAAGTGAATATATAAGAAATGTAAATTGTATATTTAATAATAAGAAATTATCAGTAACCACATGGAGGTCATTAAATATAAAAAGAAATGCATTCCTCCAAGTAGTAAAGATGCAAGAAGGAGTAACTATGACAAGAAGTATTAAATCTAAAATACTCCATTCTGATGCTTTAATTTATTGTAAACATTGTCCTATCACAATTCCATCTATTAGCCACATTTTGTTAGGATGTAATGAAGAAGAATCAAATATTAAAACATGAATATGTATTTAATCAAATATATAAACATATATTAATTACATATTTTATTAAATTTAATGAAATTTGATTTTAATATATATCATAAATGTATATTAATATTAATATATTTTTATATTAAATTATTGATTTATTTATTAATATATAAATAAATGAATAGAATTAATATTTATATTATATTTTATATCATAATATGTTGATTAAAAAATAAATAAGTATTTTATAAATGAATATATTTCATTTAATTATTTTATTATTATTTCTTATTATCGAATTTTATAATTTCTTATTATTTCTTTTTATATTATTATTCTCATTTGATATATTATTATTGAAATAAATCAATAGAATAAAATGATAATGATGAATAATGATAATAAAATGATAATAAATATTAATAATAGATAATGAAAAACATAAGAATATAAAAGAAAATATATTTAATGATAAATAAGAAGAATGAAAATAATATAGAAAAGAAATAATAAATTATAAAATGATTTTATAATTAATTTTAAATTAATATTCAATAAAAATGAATAAGAAGAGAGAATAAATAAAGAAATGATAATAAAGAAATATAAATGAATATAAAAAGAAATTAAATATATGAAGAAAGAGAATAAGAAATAATAACAATGAATTGTTAAATAATATAATAGTTAACAATATGTAATTATTAATTGTTGATTTCTTATTTCTATTATTATAATCAAAATTAAATAATATAGAATGTAAATAAATGATAAGTGATAATAATATGAACACAAATAATAAAATAAAAAGAGAAATAAAGAATATAAAAGAATATAAATAAGTTTAAAAAAGAGATAATAGAATTAAA